CTATTGTATTACCCAAACCAGGAAGTGGATTCATTTCTCCAGGCAGAAATGGTAGACTTATATTTTAATGACATATGACTTTAGACACCTTTGGAAGAAAATGATCCTGAATGGTTTTGTGTGCATTCCATGATGAGATGTTGAAATGCAGGTGTTAAGAGGATGCACTCTTTTGACTCTCTTCCTGGGGGACATGCATTCATGCTGTGAAACAGCTTCTAAAAACAGTTGATGTTTTAGTCATTTCTTCTGGTTATATGTAGAAAATGCTTAAGTCCAAACCATGCACTGTTCTGTCTTTTTGAATATTAGCCCTGCCTATTAAAATTGTAAATCCTGTGTTGTATGTGAATTACCAAGGGCATTCATGGAAAAAGTCAATAGAATCCTTTTTATTTGGTTTGGAGAGGAAAACCCCCAAAGAGATCTACAGACGATACTTTATGTACTGGCCAAACATCTCACCCGGCTCTTAAGTGCTTAACATTTCAACCAAGCTCAACTGGTAATAAGCAAAGACTATTTTCCTGTTAACTGAACCCTAATGACCTGTGTTTGACACCTGGAACCCACAAAAAGGCCAAAGTGGCGGCTCACATTTGTAATTGTAGTACTCCTACAGAGATATGGACTCCTGCAGAGATATAGACTCCTACAGAGATATGGACTCCAACAGACATATGGGAGGCAGAGACAGGAAAATCTGGAATCTTCTGGGCTAGCTGGCTTGCAGGACACATAACTACAGGGTCAGTAAGAGAGACCATGTCTCAACAAGGTATCGGGAGAGAACAGTTTCTGAGAGTAGATGTCTGACCTCCACATGCATACTGTGGCACATAAGTGCACACACACTCACTCATACACACGCATGCACTCACAGCACACTATACACAGATAAAATAATAATACATGAGCCGGGCAGTGGTGGCGCACCCTTTAATCCCAGTGTTCGGGAGGCAGAAACAGACAGATCTCTGTGAGTTGGAGGCTAGCCTGGTCTATGAAGCGAGTTCCAGGACAGGCTCCAAAGCTACAGAGAAGCCCTATCTTGAAAAGCAAACAAAACAAAACCATAATCATAATAATACATGAAATTAGATTTTAATTTTAAAAAGAGTAAAAATGTGAACACGGTTTGGGAGTCAAGAGTACCAGTGGCCTGACAGGAGTGCCATTTCCAGGGCTTGGGTCCCTAGCATCTAGGTGGGAGTAGATTGCTCCCTCAGTTTAAGACCAAGTTCAACCAGGACTCCAGCTATAATGACAGGGTATGGACAATATACAACCTCTGAAGTACCCTTCATGTAGGCGGTGCTGTAAGTGGTGCTCCTTGGCTCTAAGTATTCTGAGTTCAATGACCTACTTCTCATAGGCCCTTGGTTGCTATGGTGTTGGTAATCACTTCCCACATAGAACTCCCTCTCACTGCCTACCCCCTGAGATCTTTCTTGCTTATTGATTCTAAGCACCATGCAAAATGACTACTAACTGTTCTTAAACAGCATGTGTAATGAAGAGGTGGAAAATGAAACACACACACACACACACCTAGAATTGTGTCACACACCCCTTAGAATTGTGTGTGTGTGTGTGTGTGTGTGTGTATGGTTGGTTTTGCACATATGTACATATTTATGGAGGCTAGAGGACAACCTTAGTTGGGATCCCTCAGGCCTTGTTCATCTTTGGGACAGGGTCTCCCCCACATCTTAAAATCCTTAAGCAACGGTGTTTTATTATTTGTCTACATGAAACTGGAGCTGTAAAAAACTGACCCAGCCACCTCAGTGTCACCTCAAAGGCGACAGACATTATGGGGGGAGGGGATGCGCCAGCTCTGTCACCATGGAGCCACAGCACCTTCCCATGGCTCCATTCACCATGTGTCATCAAAAGGACTTGTTTCTAATGGCCTTCAGATTTAACATTAAAGGCTCAAAGCCCCAGATTCAACTCTCAGCTTCACACATACACACGAGAAACAAAAAACAAATAAAAAGCAAAACAAAACAAAATAGATTTATAAATTATTCCTCAGAAATAAGGAGCCCTGGCATCCTAAATAGTGCATTGAGCCATGCATCAGGCTGCACTGTGACAATGAATTTGAAACTGGAAATAGAGATGCATCTTTCATTGTTGATATGTAAGTGTCACTAACACAAATATCAACCGATCTCTGTGTGTACCTACCTCCTATTTTGGGGGTGGGAGGTGCCTTTAACACAATGTAACACTGAGTGCTTACAATATGACCTTATTTCTGGGTAGGTTTAAATTGAGTCATCCAGTTCAGAATGTCACACATATGTTCCAAAGATGTCTTATCTCAAAATTCAAAGCCTTCTCAAACACATACTGTTAAACTGCATAGGCCAGCTTACAATAGGAGTAAATATGCAGGCTAATTGCAAGACGCGGCCAAAGTGGTGCCAGACTGACATCAGAAGGAATTTTCTAGTAGCCCAACTCAGCCTCCTGTGAAGATCGCAGTTGTTGCCCCATTCCCTTCCCTTTTCCTTTGTAGTGTCTTCCAGGTCCCTTGAGTGAGTGCTGGGTGGCTGCCAGGTAGTCTACCCTCAGACTTTAGGACTGCCTTTTCCTCCCTTGCTGTGACCTCTTTAATGCTGACACTCACATGGCCAAGGCTCCTGGAAGCTCTGGCTGGCCCTATTGGATGGAGAAAAGTGGTTTCTAGTCTTCCTCATCGAGCAGGCTTTTTAACCCTTCAAAGTAGGACATTGACATTAACCTCACCCCTTTCTTGTCAAATGTGATGGTGTCACAAAGCTGAGCAACTGGAACAGAATCCCCCAGGTTAAGATGGGGTCTGGCATCTTCCGGAAGCAGTAAGGGAGGCATCCTGAGTGACTGAAGCAAAGGGAGGAGGTGTGGGCCAGAGGCCGGGTTATGTAAAGCTGCCATGGAAGGTCAGTGCATACAGACTTGGTGAAGGGTGTGTGCAGAATGTTTCTTTTGGCTGTTATGTTGAAAAGACACTGTCGGGAGAGAAAAACAGAATTAGGAAGATAAGTTAGGTAGTCGTTACAACAGCCCAGATGAGGGACAAGGCCAGGGAAGTAGAGAGCTGCAGAGACCATGGAGGCAGAATTGGCAGGCTCTGGTTCTAACTGGGAAAACTGAAACAAATCAGGTGGGTGTCTTGATGGATTGGCTATGGAGGAAAAAAGAAAAGGTCAAAGGTGGCAGTAGTTTCCCATCCAATGGACGCTTCCCTTTCCTTGCCACTATGCAGGAAAAATTTTGCAGAGGAAAACTGTTTCTTGACTGTTTTATTTATTTATTCATTTATTTGTTGTTGCTGTTTGTTTGTTTATTCATAATTGTGTTATCGGTATTAGTAGGGAGAGTTCTAGAATAAAGCTAGCTCTGAATCCTAATCCATAGTGCATGAACATGTTTTATGTGCATATTGTGCAGTGTTTTCCAGACCTCCACAGTGCCCCATTCTGTTTTTGAATGTACTTTTTATAGGTCTTCTTTCATGACTCCATTACTACTTTGTGAAAACTCTATCAGCAACCTAGAATGTAACTGGGAAGGAATTCTAAAGTTTTTTCTTCATTTATTTGTAAACACATACCCTTATTTTCATAATTTTCTTTATTTTTGATTTGTGTGCCTGTGTGTGTGTACGCACATACACGTGAATGCACATATATGAATAGAACTGGAGTCCGAGGTGGTTGTGAGTAGCCTGGTGTGGGTCCTCTGCGAGAGCAGTATATGCTCTTACTACCCCCTGGACATTTCTACAGCCCCAACTCTTTGCTTTTTTAAATGCTATTGAGCCCAGTTAATTTAGAGTTCAGTATACTGCTTTTGGATTCTGTTGAGTACTGTTTCTTTCTGAAGACTCTCAGTGTTTGTCCTTAGGTGATCAGAGAGCTCTAGAACTTTGTGATAATGATTGCGATTTTTATCCTAATCTTTTACATTTTGTGCTATGGTAACTGCCTTACTATTAGAAGCAAGTTGTATTTTAATATCTTAGATCATATATAAACCACTTGGCACTCTGTTGTTCCATGTGGTCAGAATATTTCATAATTAAAACATAAAGTCACATGTAAAATGTACAAAGTGCAATCATAATTTGGATATGCTGTTTTCAGACCTCTGTGGAAAAAAAAATTCTAGTGGGTCCTTTTATCCACCTCCTCCCTTCCCTTTGCTGTGTGACTGACTGGTCACCAGCCAGGGCTTACCACATACTGTCTGTTCTTCTGAGACATAAACAAACTCCAAGTTAATGGATTTTTTTGTGTGTGTGAAATATTTTTGAAATTTATAAATTTGCAGTTATGAAAGAAGGAAAGTTAAACCCAAAGGTCTGAAGTATGGTTTGTTGCTATTTTAACATTGATGTTTGAAATGTCAGTCTCTAAAAGGCCCTTTGTCTCAATGTAGCAACCTTCACAACCAATTCTGTTGATGGTGATAGAGCTTTTGTCTCCCGGCTGGCAGGAAACCCCAGCCAGACTCCAGAATGAGGGGCTCCTTTCACATCTCACATCCCCTGGATTCTCCTTTTCTTTCTATTCTGCTTCGTCACTCCCCGCCTACCCTCTAGTGGGCAGTATGAACCTGGGGGAGCCGGGTCTGAAAATAAGGCAAACTAAAGCCCTATGCAACAGCCAACTTTATTCAGAGCATCAGACAGTTTATACTCAGAGGGCTAAGATGCATCACAGGAGTGGGTGTCAATCACAAGGATAAGTCACACAGGGCCAAAACATGTTTCCCATAGAGACACACGACTAGCACCAGCTGAAGTAAATTCACTCCTCTCCACCACACCTGGGAAGAACACAAAAACACATTCCAAGAACAATTCTGTGTTTTAAAGAAACTGAGGTCACATGACTTTTATCTTGTTTTCTTGGAGTTCTCTCACAGGCAGTCAGAATTTCCCTACAATGACTCCATTTGTGGACTGTGTTCTGACGCATCCCATGGATTTCTTCTATTTCTAGGTACAAGAAAACACATGAGACCTTGAGCCATGCAGGGCAGAAGGCCACAGCAGCCTTCAGTAATGTGGGAACCGCCATCAGCAAGAAGTTTGGAGATATGAGGTAAGTCAGGGTATTTAAAACAAAACAACAACAAGAGCATTGTGGATTGGTAGGGTGTTCTTTCTTTCTTTAATGGGTAAAAGTGACATTGACTGGTGACAGAAATAAATTTTCATGTTGGATATTGTGATATTTTCTGTCAGAAGGTCGGATTAGAAGCCTGGCTCCAGCCTTACCCTTTCTACCCATAAAAGCAGAAGTTAGAGGGAATGAGGAGGGATTTCAGAATAGTCCAGGATACAAAGAATCCAACTGGTTTTATTAGCTAGCTTGTCTCTTTGCTCTGACAAAAGCAACTTCAGGAAAGATTCATTTTGTTCCGTAATTTGAGGGTATAGCCCATCCTGTCCAGGAAGTCATGGCAACAGGTGTTTGAGGTCACCTTTTACCCCTAGTCAGGAAGGAGAGAGGAGAATGCTGGCCCTCTCCTTTTAGGTCTGGACCCCAACCCACGGGCTAGTGAGTTTTCCCTCCTCAGATAAGCCCATCTGGAAACAACATTACAGACACATGCAGAGACATGTTTCCGTAGTGATTATAAATCTAACCAGTTGACAATGAATATTAAGTATCACATATCTTAATTTAAACGATATTGGAAAATATTCAGTGGAATCTGCTCTGATAAATTATTCTAGGTTACATTTTTGTATCCAACCATCTGGTATATTTTAATTTTAAAATGATACTATTTGACTTATATTTCTGGTAGTTTTCTTTGTTTACCTTACCAGTATATTGACATATATTAACAATTTATATATCTTCATTTTCAATAACTGAATTATCGTACAGTATACAGCAGCTGTAAAACTTTTAAGTACCTCCAACATTATGGTTGTCAGTAGTTTGCAGAGACTTGGGACAGCATGGAGACAGACTTTGAATTAAACCTAACATCGTTCATGCAGAAACAGGGAAAATGGTGCTGTATAGGATTTTTTCCCCCCACAGTTATTGCTGTCATATTTGTATTGTTTAAATACCTGTCAATTTATTTTGAATTTGGTTGATGTGGTTTAGGAGATTTTTCTTTAGAAATTGATTTTATTTTTCTCATAGAAACCAAGGTAATTTTTTAAAGATTTATTTATTTATTTATTTATTACGTATACAACATTCTGCCTCCATGTATGTTCACATGCCAGAGGAGGGTGCCAGATCTCATTACAGATGCTTGTGAGCCACTACTTGGTTGCTGGGAATTGAACTCAGGACCTCTGGGAGAGCAACCAGTGCTCTTAACCACTGAGTCGTCTCTCCAGCCCCAAGATATTTTTTTTAAGTTGGCAAGTTTTAAGTTTCTCCTTTTCAAAAACTATGTGGACATTTATGTCATAGATTTCTGAAACTTCTTTCTCCAAAGCTTTGATACCTAGTTGTAAATATTCATATCTTTCTATTTAGTTTCTTACATCAAAAGTTGTTGGATTATTCCTCGTATTCATGAACCATTTTTACTAGGCATTCGTGCGTATAGAATTAATTTGATATGCACATGAATGCTCTGTATTGCTTTATCCTCTTCTTTATGAGTACCACATTATCAAAGGACACTGAAAGCCTTCAGAGACAGCGTGTGATTTTGTATTATTAGTTACTGCTATCTTATTATAGGTAAGGTTCACAGTCATGTCAGTAGCACTGAACCATTTATCTGAACAAATAATCCCTTACACAAGAAAGGCCCTTCTGCCCATTATAAATAAGAAACTATATTTTGACATGTTTATAAAGTTTATCCTCTACATAGGCAGTTGACAACTTTCTCTTGAACATTTGACCTTGTACAGTACTGCCAAATAGCTTTCCTCCATCTTTATGAGTCTATATAAACATCTCTGAAGCATTCTAAAAAAAAGTGTGCTTTCCTTGATTGAACCTCTTCAAGAGTGTGCTCAGAATCTGGGAAAGTGATTGCGTCAGGATGAAAGCGATCTCACCCTTACCTGGATGGTCTTTACCTTGTAGATGAGAGGAAAATGGCGACAAGGCCGTAACTCAGTAACAGATGATTTACTTTGCATACACAAGAGGGCTCCTGGGTTCCATCCAATCACAGAAGAAGCAAGGGAAAACCAAGTAGCAATGCCATTGGAGTGTTATAGAGCTATGGATGTGCTATGTTTACCCTTTATTATGCGGCCAAGTCAAGGTGGTCCTTACCTGAAGGAAAGCAGCATGCATCTGTGATGGGGACCCATTGGGTCTTATAAAGGCTTCTTGTGTTTCTCTAGTGAGGAACAAAGGCTATAGTGTATAGGTAGTGTGTTGGTATACTTCTGTCCAAATTGTGGTAAGTGTGATACCTTCCTGTCAATGGCCCTTACTCTTGTTTTAAAGTGCTTTGTTTTAGTGCAGTGCATAACTCACTTTCCAGGAATTCCAGGCTGTTCACTGATTATAACTTCACAGAAAGAGTCCTAGTTTTCATTGTGAAGGGACTCATGTCGCTATGCTAGATTTATGTGAGTAGTAAAGCAACCGCGTAGCTTTCATGAGATATGAGATTTGAGCCTCATTGCTTCAGACAAACGGTGGATAAAAATTCTGGAAAATGAAGTACACATTTCTAGAGATTCAAATTCAATTCTGAACATTTTTATTAAGTTGGAAAAAGACAGAGATGTATTTCTAGTTTTTTTTTATCAAGTATTACAAAGGCTTTTTTTAAAAAAAAATTTTACTAAAATGAGTATTAAGTATATGTTATTTTTAACTTCCACCAGGTTAATAAACTTGAATGATAAAATTTTCTTTTTACATTATGTTCAAACCGATGTGTCAATTTATAAAATGTTAGCAGGAAATGTTAAAATTTTAGCACAGGTATTTTACCTTAAACTTTCCTTTGCTTTAAAGTGTGCTATTGTCCTATACTATTCATTATACTATAAAATTCTTCTGTGTGTTCCAGAACCAAATCTATAACCATGTTCAGTCTTTGTCTCCATCTGCGAATAGCGTTAGTAGCTCTTGCCTCACCTGTGTGCTAAAGTCACACCCATGGAGTGAACTCTGCGGAAGTCTAAACTGTTGTGATGGATTTTATAATAACATATTGGCATCCTCTCAGAATTTCCCAGTGAATTTGTTCAGACTGTGATTCACTAGGGACCAAAATGTTTGGAGGAAGCATATAATGGAGGCTTGCCATCAATATATCGCTGTGGGAAACACGACTAGATGCAAACATTTTTTAAAGTGGCGGACAAAATCTTTAAGGCACATTTAGAAATCGGTACTATCAGCCATTGTTTATGCTCCTAAGTCTACGGGTTGAAAATATTTTTTTAATTCATCTTTATTGAACAGGAGCAGATTTTTGTGCTAAGATTCTCTAAGTAACAAGGCATAACAAATGTCATATGATTTTCACCCTGTGTTAGGTATCCAAGTAGTAAGGCTAGAAGATATATGCAAACAACAAGGCATTCTATGCAAGGACTTAAGCATCCTGGGATTTCCATATCCATGGGGGTCCTGGAACACTTTCCCCCTCAGCTTGCACAGGGAAGGCAGACTGTGTACTCTAAAAAACAGCGAATGAAGTTACCTAGACCTTTCTCTTGAGTTACTTAGATGTTTCTTGCAAAGGCACAAAAGTCCCAGGGGGGTCATATCTGTGCATTCTGTGCTAACTCAACCCTGATCTTCTCTTCCATGCTGCCGGGCTTCAGGTCTCACTCTATTGGGTAAGCACATGATGTTGAGTCTGTGAGGCTGTGTGAGGTCTGCAGCTGCCTTTTGCATGCTCTTCCCTTCTACCCATGTCTCTCATCTCCCTTCACACTGTATCACAAGCAGAAAAACAAGACCATTTTCTGGAGCATGCGCAGAACAAGGAAGATGCCAGTTGCGCAGCGAACTAATCCATTGGAGTTCATTTAACCACACATTCCTCTCACTCGTGAATCTTTCCCACCAGTTTGATTTGCTAAACAGTCTCCTAGAACTAAATCTCTTCTGTCAGGAAAATTTCTTCCAACACTTACAGGGCTCTTAGAATTTGAAGAGGTTGAAAAAAAAGTGGAAATTGATAGGACTTTTGTTTTGTTTTTAGCTTGATTTTAATTTTTGCTTGTTAAAGAAAACTTGCAGAACTTGAAACAGAGAACCGATTCTCTTTTATCACTTTTCTCTGAATTTCTTTGACTTCAGTTCCCATATTTTGAAGTTGCAGGGAGAAAACTAGTGGAAAATACTTACGTTAAGAAGTTGGTGACTTCTCTGAGGAGTTCAACTTAAGCCTTTTTTTTTTTTCCTGGAATCTTAATATGAACTTAACCCACTCCTGCCTCAGATTGTATTTTTTTTTAAAGGTATATGCCAACTGTAGCCTGGAGTTGATTTTTTTTTAAAGATTTATTTATTTATTATGTATATAGTATTCTGCCTTCATATATCCTATAGGCCAGTAGAGGGTACCAGATCTCATTACAGATGGTTGTGAGCCACCGTGTGGTTGCTGAGAATTGAACTCAGGACCTCTGGAAGAACAGTCAGTGCTCTTAACCTCTGAGCCACCTCTCCATCCCCCTCAGATTGTACTTAATGAGATGAACAGATTGGCAATACTAGGTTTCCTGTAGCGATGTTTTAAATGCGACTTCTATATATAGTTTCTCGGAGGCTACAACTACTGCCTGAATGACTTTGCCTTTCTGATATTTCAGTAAGAGGTTGCCCTTCCTAATGGCTTTAGTTGATAGTTTCTGGAATGTGTGATAGATTTGATTAAAAACCTGTAAGCTTCCAGATCTTCCTCATGACCCTTTAAATACAGTTTATGGTGAACCCCAACCATAAAATTATCTTCATTGCTGCTTCATAACTGTAATTTTGCTACTGTTATGAATCATAATGTAAGTATCTGTATTTTCCAATGGGCTTAGATGACCCCTGTGAAAGGGTTGCTTCAACTGTAGGGGTCACGACTCACAGGTTGCGAAACACTCTTCTAGGTAGAGGGTGACTCAGGGTCTATGATAAAATGTGTCAGAAGAGCAAGCCCTAATCCAGGACAATGGAGCCCAGCTTGCTTCCTCCCACCTGCCTCACTCCAGTTCTGGACAAAACTCAATAGACAATACCAGGCAGTGAGGGGGGGAATGGTGAGTCATCTGCTCTAGGATTAAGAGGATCAATCTCCTAAAATTCTCAGGCATGTTTGTATTTGTGCCAGTTGTTCCTGACAGTCCAGAATGGATGTAGAACTCTCTTCTTCCAGCTGGTGTGTGTGGATGAACAGTGTTAGCCTAGCCTGTGCTTCCTAGGGTGCCTTTTCCTAACCATCTGCATTCGTCTGGCCAGTATCTGTACAATGGGACATTAGCATCTGCCTGCCTGGCCTCCTTCCTGGGTACAGCTCTCACTCTCCCCCGGTATGAGAAGGAAGTGGAGACCAGGGATGGGCTCGGGGATACCACACCTTCTAGATTTCCTGCAAGGCCCCTGAGAAGAGCAGGGGCCTTCAACATGGCTCCTATTCTTCTGTATGCCCTTGGAAGCTGATTGTGGTTGCTTATGTCCAAAAAAACCAAATGCCATCTTGGTTGGGTGGGCAGGGTACATCAGATATTTGAAATTGCTGTTTTAGAACTGTCAAGTCAGAATTTTCCCACAAACTTAAACTGTGCTATTTTCTTTTCCCCCCTCCCTTTAATGTGCTTGGTCCTGAAGGTACTCCATTCGCCATTCCATAAGTATGCCTGCCATGAGGTAATGTGTACAAATATTCACGTCCTATTAATGTAGACTGTATGGGAAGCATTTCTTATTTTGCATGAGTTCCTTCCCCATATCACTTTATTAGAAAAGATTTAGCTGAAGTCATGCTATACTTCACGCTTTCTTTCTGACTGTCTTCAGGAGGGAATGTGGCCTCTTGCTGTGGGCTTGAGTTTTTGACAGACACAAGACCTTAAATCCAACCCTTCCTGAGATCAGAGATAAGAACTTCACCTATCGCAATCTCCATTTCTTTGCTACATTTTATAAAGAACTAAGAGCTGCCTTGCATGGATCTATAAGGCCAAAGTGAAGCAATGTATTTGAAGCACTAACATAAGACCTGGAACATTCTAAACACCTTTGCATAATTAAATGCAGACCTAGGAGGGGAAAACAGAGAATGGGAGAAAAAAAGAGAGAAGATATCATTAAGATTTTGAGATGAGTTGTCTGTTGAAAGTTTAACAATGACAGACCACTACAATCCTGGATGGATTCCTGGTGACAAAAACATCAACGTTCAAGGTTGCATGACTTACTGATACAGTATGATTAAAAAAAAAAATCCCTGGAGGTATGGATGTTTGTAATGGAAGTGAGAAGAGGCAGGCCGCTTATAGCACAGTTCTGCCAAAGGTCAATGTTACAGCCACAGCCATTTTGTTAATATTAGTTGCATGGTGTTGAAAATAACAGGCTAGAAGCAGATTTGCTGCTCTTCCCATGGTGCTCCTGGGGAGGCTCCAGCAGCCTGGGCTGCTGTCAGTGTGGGAAAAGGAGCAAATAGAACCTCTGGAACCTTCCCACACTTCAGTCAGAGCTATGGCTCTCTTCTGCTTCCTAGTATACATTATGATTTAGAGTAATTGCAGAGAGAACTCAGTTACTTTAAATAGTATGAGATTACTGGAACCAAATTCCTCCTAGGGTCATTCGCAGTACCAAAAGTTTACAGTTGTACATGATGTAATTAAATTTGATTAAACAGTTCTCCCTGCTCTCCAGCATGCATTCTAGTGTAATTTAATTAGAGGTATGTTTATTCTTTTCTGTCTGATGAAGTCTCTTCTACACTGGGGATATTTGCTCAATTAGTTGTTTGGGAAATTTAAGCACAATGTTTGGTTTTCTGTATTTGGTAGAAATAAGATTGCTTTGTTCATCTTCAGAGGAATTGTTACCAGCCATCATAAGAAACCCAGACTGAGTAGTGCAATCCAAGACTTTTAGCACCTTGACTGATCAAGTTTAAATCTGGGTGTCCAAAGAAGACTTGGAAAAAAAGAGCAAAATTTCAGTCTGTGAACCAGAAATCCATTTTGTGGTCTGTAGGTTAAAGACAATCTCATCAACTTCCTGTAGTGAACTTTGAAAGAAAATTAAGCTTGTCAATCTAACATATATCCACAAACCATCCATCTTACCTGACTACTCATTGTATGTCTACATAACTGATGGATTTCATGTGGGCAGGCTCAGCCAAATAAAGCCTGAAGAGAAAATGAAGTGCCACGGTGTATAATTTTCAGTCATACAAATGTAATTTCACCCAGACACAGAGGTATTACGAAGGCTTACTCATAGGGACTTGACTAATGGTTGGTTCACGTGCAAGGCTAAAGCTGTGCCCTGCAGTGCGAATAGAGTACAGTTCTAGCCACAGGGACTGTCAGAGTCTCAGGAACAATACTCAACAAAGGCAAAGACCTGGAGAATACATTTTACAAATTAGTTGCCTAGAGCCATGGCCATCCCGCACCATACACCCAAACCCACATTTTATAGCCACACTCCCTGATGAAGGCCATTCCTCTTATTTTCTTGTCCTCTGTACCCAAGAAGAATAAGTAGTTTATCAACTATGGTAAAACTTAATTGAAATATTTGACTTGAAAACAATGGCAATTGTTGCTGAAATGTGACATGCCAGATTTAAGATACATCTTTCAGTTTAGCTTCTATTTCTTTAATTCAATTTATTCATATCATTTGTAATGCAGTAATATCAATTGTGGTCAAATCCAACAAAGAAAGCACTAAATGACTTAAAGGTTGGTAGACAGATAATACAATACAATGCTTGAGTCATTAATAAAGCACCAATGAGGTAAGAATGCTCCACCTCCTAAGAAGGTGGAAAACTAACACATATAGCTAACAAAGAAACATTAAGAAGCCAATGGGGGCAGCCTGTGTAAAATAATGAGAACATCAACTTCCAGAATTACCACTTTCCGGAACTTGTCAACGTCATTATTTTTTTAAGGCACAGAAAGATAAAAATCAGGAATTCTTTTTTCTCCTTGAGCTATTTCTTGTCTGTTTTGTCTCCAATGTGCTGAAATACATAACCTTAAATTTCCAAATAGGAATACTCATGCGTGACCTTTAAATGGATCTTCCACTACAAACAAACAGAGAAACTGAGGAGCTACAAACAAACAGAGAAACTGAGGAAGGAAGCTGTTGTGATAGAAAACAATGAACAAAATGTTAAATTAGCCATCAGTCCATCCACTCAGTGAAAACGAGTAATGGAGGACTATGGAATTAGTGTAGCTGGATCGCTGCCATATGCTGACCATTTTCCTTAGACATATTCTGTGTCTCTGTGTCTGGACCTACCTGAGCAGAAATAAAACGTGTTTTAAAACAGAGTTGGTATCAGTGGCAAGCTGCCAGCCAGCACTGGTGCAGAAGTGCTAATTTGCAAACAAGAACTGAAAACCGAACAACATGGTTGCTAAGACACAAGGTCTTTGGAGCTGACCTCTCTTTTTTTATTTTAGGAATTCTCCTACTTTCAAATCATTTGAGGAGAGGGTTGAGACAACTGTCACAAGCCTCAAGGTACAGATGAAGTGAACTGTGTGTGAGTGGGTCCATTTCATGAGGACAGCTTAGTCATTAACCATCATTAGTGCCGAAGGCAAGGTAGGGCTGTCATCATTCTACCAGGCTAAGAAGGTAGCCATGCATGAAGACAGGCCTTTCTTCCTATAGAAACCCATGGATAGAATCAGCACTGAAGAGTATTCCTGCACCCTTAGCCTTAATTATAAACCACACAGGTATAAGTTGTTCATGAAAGTGAGTTGACTTTCCACTCACCTCTTAATTTCATTACAGCCTCCTCCCAAAAAGAGGATTGTAAGAGGATTATGGATTGCAAAAGGATTGTATGTAAGAGGATGATGGATAGAAATTGAATGAAGTTTCTATAATAGCTCACAGATCTTCTGGTTTGGACATTAATTAGCAAAATCAAATTGCTTGCCATGTCTACTACTTTCAGCCTCCCAGACTTATTCACTATGTTTATACCCTGACACAACCCAGTATGGCCATCACAGTGGGAAAATTAAACGATGTTACAGAATGCGTTGTTTTCTAGTAATGCATTTGATCCCTGGGAAATCACCAAAATGATGCCCATTCCATGGTAGGTGTTAGTTAAAGTTTCATTAATTGTCTAACTACAGATGTTAGTCTACAGAGAGGGAGAAAAATGTCAAAATCAGAACTAGTCTGGGTTTTAAAGACATACAAGTAAAATAGGAAAATTCATTGAAAATCAATTATTTTTGGAAGATGCCACATAAATAATAATGTCCTTATCTCTTGGTATAATTACTATCATGTATGTGGCCTATTCCTATATTTACTATTACTAAGATCTATAGATGGAAATGGTAATAATGCAGCTGCCTCCAGACCTCAGTCTCACACGTACTCCATGGTAGTATCTGCCACAGTGTAAGTTAGCCTGAAACAGGCCCCTGGTGCTTTCTATGGTTTGGACCTGAAGGATCTCTCCCTAAAGCAGGGTCTTTCACAAGTTTGCTTTCAAGGCCTGTGATCAGGTTTTGAAGGCTCCAGAATGAAATCGTCATTCAGTGTTTATTATGTCTCTATGGACTTCTTACTCCTTGCCAACTTTCTCTTCTCTTCTCTTCTCTTCTCTTCTCTTCTCTTCTCTTCTCTTCTCTTCTCTTCTCTTCTCTTCTCTCTCCTCTCCTCTCCTCTCCTCTCCTCTCCTCTCCTCTCCTCTCCTCTCCTCTCCCCTCCCCCCTCTCTCTCTGTGTGTATGTGAGTGTGTTTAAGGATTAGTAAGAGTCATTAAATTGTCCTGTAAAGTAACATACTATATTGTGCCCATATCTGTCGCTAGAACATCTTGTATCAAAATAAAGGGCTCAAAAATCCCAAGTCAATTTCTCAACACTTGGATTTCAACCTTACATCAGCTCACGACTATAGGTTCTGTTTCTTGTTGGAGGAGTTCTGATGTAGGAGAAGTTGTACTTTTTTAGGTTCCTTTAGAAGAAGGAGCTATACAGAAGCCAAAGACGAATAAAGAACGACCTATTTTCATTTGCTTTTAGAAAATGGGAAAGCTCATGGTTCCCATGTAAGTGATGTCACAGTCGCAGCCTCAGACTGTGAGGAGAGGGCATGCAGCTAATCTCCTTTAGACAGGCTCATGACTGCACAGCCCATCAGATTTCAGGCATTGCTGTAACAACTCACATCCCACATCCCTGCTATCTCCCAGTCCAGGTCCAGTTCACTTTGCCCACCCAGGCAATGGAGAGCAGCTCATCATTAAATGTTGCATGAAGCCTCCCACTTCATCAACCGAAACTTCTTCTTTACTCCTTGCTGCACAGACCAAATAATAGATTACCAAAGTCTCCTTTCTATAGCTTACTTTCTGCAGTTTGCTTTTGGGTTCTAAATCTCCTGTTTCTCCACTTATGGGCCTTGAGGCTGTTTTCTCTCGAGGGACTAGATCAGTAAGGAAGAATGGCTATCTTCATGTTTCATTTCCAGGCACAAGCTCTACTTTAGGGTTGGATTTTAAGCCCCTGACAGGGACGCAGGGTCACATTTATGGTCTATGAAAAAAAAATGTTGTGTGAAGTGATGCCATGCCCTCAAGCAATCTGACACACACCGCAGGGCACTGTCCAAGCCAGTTTTCCTCCTCTTATATCCAGCTCAATGAACAGTGTGACAGTCCAGGGAAGACTTTCCAGTTCATCATGATCAGATAGAATTTAGTCCTGCCAACATGCTGGCGATATATTACTGGAGGATACCTCGTCTCATGTTTCCTGCACTGCTAACCAGCATCCTTGATATTCCATCCAAAACAGACAGATGCACAGCTGGCACCTACAAAAGCACATCTGGTGTATTTAGCCTTGTTCTGATTCATCATAAATGCCAGTGTCCTGCCGCTCACCCTTCTCCATATCATACAGACTGTAGTTTAGTGCACCTACTCTCTGATGACTACAGCACAGTCTGAATCCACCTTCAGAACCTGACATGCTGATTGTGTGTTGCTTTTTCATGCTTTGTGTTCTCCTAGACAGTCATCCGGAGAGATTAGGAGTGTGGCTGTGCAGTTCAAATGGAATTGTCTGTAAAGAATGATTCTCATTCCAGGGACAAAGTGATAAATTCCTAGGTGTAAAAATATTGTGTGCCGTGGTCAGACACTAAACACGCAGGGTTAGGAAATCTCCACATCCCTCTTCCTTTCCTACAAAGCCCTTCTTTATCTTACTATTTTGATTTGAGAAAACAGGAAACTACAGCAGGAAAAGTCCAAGAGGAAACAGCAGTAACTAGAGCTCACCTGACACAATGCCATGTGAGTTCTGTCATTAGACAGAAGCCGGAGAGAGCTAGAATGGCTTTTGTTTGTTTAGGCTTTTGTTTTTCAAGACAGGGTCTTACTAGGTGGCCCTGGCTGTCCTGGACTCACTATGTGGCCCAGCCTGGCCTCTAACTCAGAGAGCCACTTCCTTCTGCTGGGACTAGAGGTATGTGCTTTAGTCTCACCCCATGAGAATTTGAATTTTTAAAATCCCAAAGGAACTGAAACTCTTCACACAGTAGACTACGCTGAATCAATCCTGCATGTTTCTCAGAGGAAAGAAACGGCACAGTGGAAATCACACAGCTGAGAGCATCGCTGTCTACTCAGCTTCCTTCCATTCCCAGTGTTAAGATCACAGGTTTGGGGCTTGACAACTTTGTGAAGAGGTCCGTAAAGTAAGGCCCCTGAGGCAGCTGGTCATCTATTTTTGCATTAAATGTAAGCTAAAAATGGTTGTGCATGTTTACTTGCTTGAAAAGATCAAAATATTATTTTGTGATGTATGCAGTGTCAATTGCCTGAGATTCAGATTCCTGTGTGCAACTATTCATCTCACGCCCGTTTGCCTGGGCAGCACTGTTTGTGGCTGCTTTCCGCCATAGCTCATTAAGTGTCAGGGCTACAGATGATATGGTTTTGAAAAATGAAATATTTACTCTTTGGCCTTTCGCAGCAATTGTTCTCCTGGTTAGGCATGGTAGCACACGCCTGCAATACCAGCTAAGGCAGCAGGAATTAGGAGTTCGAGGTCAGCTTGGCCTATGTATGTAGTTTTATAGGCTAGTCTGGGATACATAGGAAGACTCTGGGGGAAAACAAACAAACAAACGATCAAATAAATTCCTGGCCTAAGCAATGTAGAAATAAATAATTTAATTTCTGGTATAAACAATGTAGAAAGATCAATTTAATAACTGAATTTAAAATGCAAAAGAATTTTTTATGATAGTTGAATTATGGAGCTATTAATGAATTAACAGCTTTTAAACCCTGGTTACATTTCTTATAAATTTCCTTTTAGATTTATTTTCTTTTATCTGTGTGTTTTACCCATGTGTATTTCTGTGTACTACACGTATGCCTGGTGCTCATGTTGGTTAGAAGAGGGCTTCAGATCCCTCGGAACTGAAGTCTGACGGTTGCAAGCTGTCATATAGGTGCTGGGATTCAAAGTTGGGTCCTTTGCAAGAGCAACAGTGCTCCTAACCACTAAGCCATCTCTCTAGCCCTATCCAGTTAGGGTTTAAAGGGTGGGCCAAGCAGCATGGACACTGTCCCAGTGTGCATGTCTACATTACTTTGGTGACAGTGGGTACAGACATTAGTCCAGCAATAGCAACAACACATTCTATTCTCTACTCCCCTTTCCCCTGGTGTTTTTACACATTGTGGATGGTTAAGGAAAGCCCACAGTGAGTGTTCAGGGTAAATATTTTGGAATATAAAACACTGATCTGAAGAGCTGTTAATGACTCGTCACTCAAAGTACTTAAGGACATATTTAAAATGTAGGCTGACCTCTTTGTTTCTAGTGAGTCAGTAAACAAGAACACCAGAGACTCATCATAAATATTCTCAGAAATTAGCCTAGAAAGGTATGAAATCCCTAGTGCTTAGGATAAAACAAAACAAGAACCCAAACCCCACAATGGTGGGGGCAGGGGTAGTCTGGAGAGGTAAGTGCTTCTTGTCCTGCAGGCGTTATGACCAAAGTTCAACTTCAAAAACCCCTGTTGAAAATTCAGGAGTAGTGATACACACTTACACTCCTAACTCTGGGAAGGTGGCGATGGGCGGAATCCCTGGGGCTTGCTAGGCAGCCAGCCTGGCCTACTTGGATAGTTCCAGGCCAAGCTGTCTAAAGAAAAGGTGGGGGGTACCTGAGGTTACCCGGTGGCCTCTACATACATACACACACATGTACATGCACACCTGCATGCAAATATGTGTCCACAACCACATGCACAAAAAGAGAGACCTTTTCAATAATTAGGACTGTCCACTAGTTATGTCTCAAATAGTTATGTCACAAATAGAAAACCCAAGTATACATCATACAAGGATATTTATACATTTGTTAAAACTGAAAGAATTAATCGAAGATCCATTTTCAATTTGATTCAATCAATTCTCTAGATGAACAGAGACAGATGACGCGCATCTATTGATCTCAGTATATTCCTGTTGGGATTAGAATCTTACATGTAGATGAAATTCAAGTTGGAATCCCATCCTAGAACTGAAATGAATGACATTCTGGACTGTAAAGGAAACTTCTCTTGCTTCACGTGCCTTTGAGGAAAAACAGTTATCTCTGAACTGAAAAGCAATTAAACTTTGGCATTCTAAGAAAGAAAAAAAGGATATAAAAATGACAATGAAAAACTAACTGGATTTTGATCTACCTGCCCATTTCAGACGAAAGTAGGCGGGACAAACCACAGTGGAGGCAGTTTCGAGGAGGTCCTGAACTCCACGGCACACGCCAGCTCCCAGAATGCTTCAGGAGGCCCGCGGCAGACCCCGGATGAGGAGCTCCAGTGCTAGGTTCAGCCAGCCTGGGCTGCAGGCGGCAGATCTGCTTGCTCATCTTCTGATTCGAAGACCAAAATCCCACTGGGAAACCAAGTTTTGATATTGTTATTTAAACGGCCTCTCCCAAAAGTTTAATAAAGTGATTTCCATTGGCATTTGTGTTGATGATGGACCACTTGACCATCACACCGCAGTATTCCCAAGTGTCGTCATTTAAAATGGCCAACTGGAGTAGGTTCATAATTAGTCATAATCCTTGTCTGTGGAACTCACTGTGTATTTCCCAAACAGGCAGCTACGATTCTTAGCTTTGGTTTTTGCTTGGTCTCCATAACAATGTGCATGTCTTTGAGGACTGAGCTGTGTGCCATCAGTCTGAAGATCAAGAGGTGGCACTCTTTGAGACTGTCTCCCGCAGTAAGCCAAGCCACTAAAAATGTCACCAAGCTGCTTGTGATCTCTCTCACCTACATCAACTATGTACATTTATTTAAGTCATTAAAATAATCCACTTTAATGATGACTGGATCTTTGATTATTTTATTTTGTCAGTGCTACTGACGACTTAAAGTTGGTAGCAATGCTTCCGTAAGGGAATTTTTATATCCACTTTTACCCTGAGGAATGGGATAGACAGAAGTCATAAGAACATTTGCCATCTAAGAATGCTGACTCTCAAATTCCCTCCAGTCCACCTAGGAAGTCGCTACTCAGGTAAGAATATCTGAGAAGAGAACCCTAGGGGAAGGTAGGTTAAAACAAATTTTCAATTTACATGCTGTTCACCTGGATTAAAAGGCACCCAGATCATTGGAACCACCTTTTCCTTTAACATTGTAAACTTTTTTTCTTCACAACGGAAACCTGTTGTCTGTTTGGGAGCAGGGATATAATCTATGGCACATTTGTATAATAAACCAAATAGACCTATTAACTAAAACAATTAACTGTGATTTGAACCTGGACACTCATACTGTATCCAACCCAGGTTCCCAGCCTTGAACCTGGACTCACTCTTGATACCCACCACCACCAGCAAGTCTCCCTTCAAGATCACTGCTCCCCACATTGAAACTCTAAGACTACATACATGAAAATCCTGAGTCCAAGGTCATCTCCCATAATCCACAGGAGCAGTCACTCACCCAGAGCACAGGCTGTGAGACAAACTGACATTTTCCAAACACAAGGGCACAGAGAATAATGTCACAGCTGGAGAAATGCAAAGCACAGGGAAAACAGTGACCAAAATGATTTTTTTCTTGAATTCAACCCAAGAATAATTATTTACTCTGAATCATAATTGTAGCACTTGGTAGAAGACCAGTCTGGGCAGGCAGCAAGAATCCTCCAAGGAAAAGCAAAAATGTTCCAATATTGGTAGACATTGCTGATGGATTCAATAGTTATCTTTCCTTACTGAGCTCCAGTGTGGTTTTTATTAAGATTTTAGTCACAGTCCCATTATTTTTTTTTCCGAAATGACGTTGAGGTAAGGTCTCATTGTGAACTGCCCCTTGGCAGGAAAATGATAAACTGAGGTAATGATGATGTAAACAGAGGAAGGCCTGAGCCAGCAGAGGCTTCCACAGCCTCCAGACTGCCCCGACTTCATGAGAAACTGCAGTGGGCACAGCACAGCAAATCTAAGCCCAGAAAAGCCTTTCCATGGAAAAGGCTCTGCTCACATATTCTTGAACTGTGTTTTGAGTTATTTTGTGAAAATTTCCAAACCAACAGAAAAGGCCCCACAATACTAATAGGTAGGTTTTTTTCTTAATAATAAGACCTTAAAAAAATCACATTTTCACATTTTTTACCTTTCAACTCAGTCGATATTGTACACATGGGTTGCTTTTGCAGAGATCATCTATCTTGCTTCCTGAAGACAGTGTATCCATGGATACTGCAGAGCTTCCAGAGAAATGCTACTTAGAATGTTCCACACCAGCCTCAAAGGCCTCCTTCCATTGGAAGATGACATTTCCATTAGAAGGCTCACTGCTCATGCTGAATTACCAGCTAGGCTTGCAATGTATGGCCATCTTTTCCACACTTTTCGATAGAGTACACAACTAAAGTCATGCGAAAGGGATTATTCCCACCAAAGAGAAATAAAGAAGAGAGATGAAGTTGGCAGATACCTACTTTTAATGCAATGACCCCGGCAACACCCATTCATAATTGTTATTATAACCAAGACATTAAATCATGAAGAAATAAGGAAAGGGGAGGATACATGGCATTGGAAATAGTACAGTGTTTTTGTTTTGTTTTGTTTTTTTTTTTCCTGGCAAGGTTTCTCTGTATAACAGTCCTAGCTGTCCTGGAACTAGCTCTTGTAGACCTGGCTGACCTCGAACTCACAGAGATCCACCTGCCTCTGCCTCCCGAGTGCTGGGACTAAAGGCGTACGCAACCACCACCTGGCTGGCATTGGAAATGGTATGCCCTAAAATACATCCTCCGATGATGATGCACTGGGAAGGAGGGCAGACTGTGAGCAGGCTTGAAAATCTACAACACACAGTAAAATTAAACATCTGGCTCAAGATGGGCATGGTGCCACATGCTAGTACTTGGGGAGGAGAAGAGTCTAGGAGGGCCTGGACCAGCCAGAATGAAACCACCTCTCAAACAGCAACAGACGCTGGCCTCAAGAGCATCTCACCTGGGTGAGGACACAGGACTACCGTACACAGTAGTAACTGCATTCCAAGAAGAAGAATCTGTTCTGAAAAGTCATTATAAAAATAATAATAATAATAGCTGGGCAGTGGTAGCACAGGCCTTTAATCCCAGTACTCAGGAAGCAGAGCCAGGAGGATCTCTGTGAGTCTGAGGCCAGCCTGGTCTACAGAGTGAATTCCAGAACAGCTAGGGCAGTTACACTGAGAAACCCTGTCTCAAAAAACCAAATGAATGAATGAATAAAAAAACATTTAAAAAGTAATTATAACTAAATGTTCTACCTTCCAATGAATCTGTTCTTAAATAATATAAGCTAATAACCAAGCTTAAAGAAGGTAGTTGAAGACATCCAAAACTGAAACCAAAGTCTGGAGTGTTTAATATTTATTTAATTCCCAAAACAAGCATTCTCCTCTCAAGCCTTCGCCATGGCATCTTCCTGACCACTTCCAGTTCAGTGGCTTCTTTTAGGACCGGGGTTATATCATACTTGTTGCTCAAGTCCAGACAACAGAAGATAGATTCTCATCCTGGGAAATCTTCAGAGCCACAGTAGAAAAACACGTTCCCACGAAGCAAAGAAGAAAGTAGGGCAGCAGAGCCGTGCGAGGTGCACTCAGGAGCCCGGCTCCGCAGAGGCCGAGGCTATGTTGGCATTTCTCTCTGCCTCCAGTTCAGAAACAAGCTGGACTATCTCAGGGTGACTGAATTTTCCTGGGGAAGGGGAGACATTTCTATATTAACAAGAGAAGACACACATTTCTTCAGTTTGACTCCATGGCTATCGGGGGCTCTCTTCTGTGAAATTGGCCATACCTCAAAGCAGGAGATTCTGGGTCCCAGGAACAGGTAAAGGAGACCACTTTAGCCAGAGTGTAAGGATGAGAATCAGGCATAGAATCATCATGTAGTCTCTCAAGATGTAGAGGAAACAGCACTAGGCAGTCCCTGAGTGTCTCTCCCAGGGACTATAGGGGAAGGTTGGGAGTGAGAGCCCAGACGGCAGAGCCATCTCTTCCCAAACTGCAATGAATTAAGGGGATACAGTTCCCACATAGAAAATGGCTGGCTGGCTGGTGCTGGTGCCTGCCTTTAATCCCAGCACTCAGGTGGTAGAGGATTTCGGAGTTTGAGGCCAGCATGATCTATAGCAGAGTTCCAGGAAAGGCAGGATTATACAGAGAAAACGTCTCAAAACAAAACAGAATAGAAAAGAAAATGGCCCACAGGAAGATCACGGAACAAAGAACATAAGCTCTCTTTGGTTAAGATCTCAAGTAGCTGATGTCTGCCACTGTCCCTGTTCCTCAGTCCTCCCCAGGCTTCGGTTCTGGACAGTGACCCATCCTCATCTAGTATAAATCATTACAGATACCTAGTATAGGTGGCCAGCTAACAAGCCCTGACTACACTGACCCTTGAGGCCCTCAGAGCCTTGGCCCCAAAGCCATTTCTCCAGCTTCACGTCCCACCTTTCATTTGTCACCCAGCCCGACACAGACTCTGCTGCTCCCCAAAGCAATAGGGTTCAGAAAGCAAGGGCAGAGCTATGGTGTGAATCAGAGAAAACCCCCAAACTAGAGCCTGAGGTCCCCTTCAAAACTGCTGTAATAGGGCTGGCGTGATGACTCAGCAGATCAAGGAACTTGCTGCCAAGTCTGTCAACCTGAGATCCACTTCGGAGCCCATGGGTAGGAGAGGACCAACTCCTGATAGTTGTCCTTAACTTCCACACGGGAGCTATGACGTGCCCCCATCTACTATCAAGTAAATAAATGTAATAAGCAATTTCAGTTGTAATAGATGCAGTTGACATGTTTCCTCATACTCCTTTGATGAAACCTTTTCTTTGTTAATTAATGATTTTTAAATTTCTAAAATGAAAATAATGAAAATATAATTATATCATTTGCCCTTCCCTTCCCTTCCTCTAACCCTTCCCATGAACCTCACTTGCTAGCTCTGTCTTCATCTTTGCTCTTACATATATGTGCTTAGGAATGAGTCTTTTCCTTACACATCTGTCTCTGGGAAACTGAGAAGTCATTTCTCCAATCGGCTGCATTAGATTGATTTACTAACTCTTTAATGGAAGCAGTGTGCTACACTGCAAACAGGAGACTCTCCTTCAGCTGGCTGTTGACAAGCTACCGTCTCTCTGGGCTTAAGCTTCTTTCTCAGCAAAAGACACGTTTTGAGCTAGACAACTCCACTCACATAGTTTGATTTTTTAAAATTCTACTTGTATTTCACTCTCTGTTTTTCCTCTGTGACTATAACAACTGAAGACAACTAACCATAAAGCGCAAAGACGGCGCAAACATGGCCTGTGTGTTAAATTACTGTGAACTGTGCTCCTAGGAACCCAATTGTCACGAATAACATGGGCCAGCAAACCATGGAAGTCAAATGCCAGATGGGAACCATTCCCGGCTCCATGGCTTCTGTTATAATCACCTGATCCCACTTGATCCTACTGCTATCGTATTGTTAAAACAAACTCAGACAACACATACACAAGGGGGAACGCCTCCAGCAGGTAGAGTTACAAGGTCGTGTCCTTGAAGGAGAAGGCAAACAGCTGTGCTCCAACTAGACCCAACCATGATGCGCCACCACCTGAAGCCATGGGGCCAAGCAATCACACACTAAGACTTCTAAAACTCTGAGTCAAAAGAAACCTTCCTCATTGGAAGTTGGTCATCTGAAATGTTGTGTTGCAGTAACTGAAGCTAACCAAAGGACAGAGCCAGAGGGAGACCACAAGGTTGTAGCACACTGAGACCAAGTGCAGACTAAGCAAAAAGGGAACAATGAAGTCTCAGAGAGCGGATTAGGAAAGTACGCCGGAAACACGGGTAGCAGCAGGTCCTCAGACTTTCTCGGTCAGCCAAAAGTGTCGGGAGTTATGTTTTAGAAAGAGGAAAGCCAGGTGTTTTTAAAATAAAGATATCAGCCTAGGGCATAGCTCTGAAGCACTCACCTGGCATGCACAAGGCCCCAAGTTTGATCCCCACTCCACCCCTCTCTGCCCCACCCTCCAAAGATGAGCTGATGCCCATATGTACAGGGAATGTCAGTGACAGTCCAGTGTGAACTGACTTCCCTGTCTAGAGTAGAGGGAATGGGGCTGGAAGAAGAGAAAAAGAAACTTGCAGTCAGAGTGGCCAAGCGGATTAAGGCGCTGTGCTCAGAACTTGCATCAGCTTCACGCACATGAAAATAGTATTTTGGAGATTAGTCTGTGAGCCAGGACTTTCATGAGTTAGGTGAGGCCACACATGGGTCAGAAAAAGGCCAGTCCTTGTAGCCCTCTCAGGGAAAATAGAGACTGGACTGACTGATCCACCAGGACTCCCAGGAAATGGACAGGGAATTATATTGGAAGAAGCCATAAAACATCCATCTCCAACAGTGGGTGTGCTGCTTGCTTTGTAAACGATCAAAATGAAGGCAGCCAACAGTGCAGGTGCCTCTCTAATCAGGTCCCAGGATTTCCTCCAGCATCCTCACACAATCCTATCTATCGTGTAGGTGCTGCTAATGTCCCCATTCTATACTGGATGATGGGATCTGGAGCCTCACACACGCCAGCCAAGTCCTCCACTACTGAACTCTATCCCTGGCTCTTATTTTTGAAAACAAGAGTCTTACTATTTAGCTGAGCCTAGCTACAAACTGGACCCTTCTGCAGCTACCTCCTGGGTGCTAGGATTACAAGCATGTATAACACCAGGTTTAAGTATCTCCACTACAAAGAAAAGAAAACAAGACTCAAGGGCCTAAGTGGTTTATTAGATTTACATGGTTATATGTTGCATAAGCAAGATATAAACCCATGTCTCATGAGTCCACAGCTGTGCTATGAGGTACTGTAATGATGGTGACATTCACCTGGTAAGATGATGTGGAAGTGTATCTAACTGTGCTTGCTGTCTTTGAATTGTTTGACTCCTGAGGAAGAAGCAACAGCTGCTAAACGACATTTGATTATAAATGCTGCTGGAGTAAGCCAACCTATATATTTTGAAAATGCCTTGACTTCAAAATTTCAGTCAAAAGATATGTTCCTTTGGAGAAGAGATTTTGCTTTTGTTCCCATAGGAAATGAGAGGCTGTGGATTCATTCTGGATTAAGAAAAATAAGGTTTGATCAAGGAAGACCCACTGAAGAATCTCCAGTGGGAATGGGTGGCCCAGATGATCCAACGTTTCAGAGCACCTCTGTTGTAGTTTCCTCTACATCTATATCTAGAACAGACTTAAGACTACTGGCAGAGATGATCCAACCTCACAGAATACTCCAATCAGAACTTGCCTCAGTCTCAAGAGTGCTGGCCAAGATAATCCAGCCTCACAGAATATTCCAGTAAGAACTTGACCATAATCCTAAATTTTCTTTGGGTTCCCATAAGATTATCATACTCCCAATCAGCAGAAAGTAGCCTAGAAAACTATATCCACATTCCCAAAAAATGGATTATGGATGTTTTGAGTGTTGATTACAAGTTGTTATAGATAATGGTCAGGAAAAGAAACTAAACAAAGATGATTAGATTCAGGGTTCTTATTGTGAAAAGAAAAATGAGGAAATGCTGTGGGATAATGCTCTTGTATACTGTAAAGATTTGCCACTTGTATTGGCTTAATAAAACACTGATTGGCCAGCAGTCAGGCAGGAAGTATAGGTGGGGCAACCAGACTAGGAGAATTCTAAGAAGAGGAAAGGCAGAGATGCAGTTGTCAGTTGGAAGCAGAGGAATCAAGAGGAAGCAAAATGATAATGCCATAGCAAGAAAAGGTACCCAGCCATGTGACTGAACATAGATAAGAAACATGGGCTAATTGTAAGAGGTAGTTAGTAATAAGCCTGAGCAATAGGCCAAACAGTTTATAATTAATATAAGCCTCTGTTTGTTTATTTGATTGTGGAACTGGGTGGGATAGAAACTTCCGTCTACATGTAAGACCTATTTTAAGTCACTCACTATTTCTATCTCAAAGCTTACAATTCTAAAGCACTACCAGATTAGAACCCTTTCCCATGCATTATCTCCCTCTGAAAAGCAATTCTGGACTTAAGAAAGGAGTTTTGGTTCCTATTTATCAGACGAGGCACAGGCTCTGAGATAGCAAGAGATCACCAGCTGGCAGTTGGCAGAAGCAGAATGTGAATATGTTGCTCAGATGTCAAAGTGGTGATGTCCTTGAGTGCCACTGGCATCTCAACTAGCCATCTCAACATTTTCTTTTCAGATGTTCTTCTTGAAAGGTCAGAAGAAGAAACCAACAAGGGGTTTGCAACTTATGGACCATCAGTCCCCACACTAACATTGAGCCCAACTGAACCAACAATGTTTATGAGTTTATGAGCATGATACCTGCTGTGGAATCATAGAAGTCTTGAAGCCTCCCAGGTTTATTCTCCATGTCTTCATATTCTGATGCCTGAAGGATCATTTCACACTGGTCCAGCTGCTTCACGAATCTGGCCTCTGCACTAGATTGGGTCTCATATTCCTAAGGAAAGGGATATAGAAAGGGAATGATTAGACTGCCTCACTAGGGAGTCTAGGGAATTTCCTATTTGGGTACCTGGAGTCAGAGACACAGCTTAGGGAATGAGTGTTCAGTACCAAATCATTTTTCCACTGTGTACTGATAATTAGAGACTCTTGACTTCAGGGCACAGTTTAGCACTAGGATATCATGCAAGATAACAGTCCACAGATGCCACCCAATGCTCTGGAAGCCTCTCAGATGAACACATCTTCAATACTTGCAAATTCTTCTCTTACTGTCTTGGTTTCAAGACCAACATTCTTTTCTTTTCTTTCCTTTTTTTTTTTTTTATTTTTTGGTTTTTTGAGACAGGGTTTCTCTGTATAAAAGTCCTAACTGTCCTGGAACTCGCTTTGTAGACCAGGCTGGTCTTGAACTCACTGTGATCCACCTGCCTCTGCCTCCCAAGTGCTGGGATTAAAGGTGTGCACCACCACTGTCCAGGAAGATCAACGTCCTTTTTGAAAAAAATGTATGTGCATGTGTGTCCACGTGTGTGCAGATGAACATGTTTGTAAGGATGTCCATCTTGTTTGAAAGAGACAGGATCTCTTATCAGCCTGTGGTTTGCTGTGTAGGTTAGAAGACCAGTGAGCCCTGGAGGTCTGCTTGTCTCTGCCTCCCTGGACTTGGGACTGACTGCATGTATAATTTCTCTATACTTGCTTTCAGTCTGCCTGCCTGCCTGTCCTCTACTCCCCTGCCACCCACCATCTATCCCCTGTCTTTCTCTTCCTCCCTCCCTCCTTCCATCCCTCCCTCCCTCCCTTCCTCCCTTCCTTTCTCCCTCCCTCACTTTTCTCTAACACATGCTCTGGGGATCAGACTCAAGTCCTCATGCCTGTAAAACAAGCATGTTACAAACTCCCTTATCTCCCCAGCTCTAAGATCAGACCCTTTGGTCTACTTGAGTTGAGTAGAAGAAATCTCGTTAACTTCAAGATTTTTTTTTTTCATTTTACACTTCTCAAAGTTTGCATTCTCTCCTCATTTCACTCAGACTGTTTCTTCCTCTAAGCTAATTACTACCTTTGCTAATTACTTTTCATTACAAGTTTACCTGGAAATCTCTGGGCTTGTGATCCACCTAGAGCAGTTAAGTCCCCCTGGGTTATAACTACTGGGGACATTAGAATCTATGAATTTTATGTGTGTCGGTGGCAGGATATGGTGAATGTGGTGGGAGGGGAGGAGCATTTTCACCTTTCCTCTTTGCCCTGTCCCCCCACTCCTAAGTCACACAGGGAGTTCCAGGGGGCTTTCTTCTCCAAGAAGAACATTCCACCTGTCACAAGTTCCAATTAAGTCTGCACAGGATCGTTCTTCTATTAAAAGTATTCCCAACCGGTTTCCCGAAGAATCCTCATTTGTAATTCCACCCAGATGTGTTCAGATAACAAGCCTGTCATGCTTTCTCGGCACTGGCACATGGTATAAATCACTGAGGTTTCTTAGGTTGTGGTCAAAGCCCTTTCCTTATAAAAGCAGCCATCTGAATTCGGCAAGAGCTGAATTTTACAAAGGGGAATCATTTAAACATGAAGCCACAATATATTTTGCTTTATCTCAAAGATACTTTTAAAAAATTACATTTTATTTAAGTGTTCATTCACATTCATAGTTATATCGTTCTATTAAATAAATTCAAGTTCACAGTTTAGTCAAAGGAAACTGAATACTTTAAGCAAATCAATGTAAAACTTCTTTTCTGCTCAAAGTGAGGGAAAAAAACTTTCAGAGTGTTAGGAAATAAAGTATATTGTTGTGCTGGCCATTTTTTGTCAGATTGATACAAAACCAGACCATCTAGGAAGAGGGACTCCACACTGAACTGACTCCATCAGAATGGCCCTGGGTCATGTCTGTGGGGACATTTTCTTTATTAATGATTGAGAGGGTGCAGTCCCACTGAGGGTGGTGCTGCCCCTGGGCAGATGGCTTTGGGTTGCATAAGAAAGCAGACCAAGCAATGTAAGTAGCGCTCCTCTGTGGTTCACGCCTCTGCTCTCGCTTCAGTTGTTATCCTGACTTCCCCCAATGATGAACTATTACTAGACCATGTAAGCCAAATAAACCCTTCTTTGCCAAGTTGGTTTTACTCATTGGTATTTAAGACAAAATAGAAAGCAAACTAACACAATCGATTGCATAGAGAATTCTAACAAATTTACAGAATATTTTAAACAACATGCAATCTGTTGGATTTTCCCCCTAAATAATTCATTGTAAAGGCATTCTCTAATTTTATCTTTCAGTAAAAAGGCATGGGTCCGGGGGATGCCTCAGCAGTCAAGAGGTAAAGGTGCTGCCACCAAGCCTGACGACCTGAATTTGATCACAGGAATACAAATGGCGGAAAGAATAAACCAACAGCCATAAGTTGTTCTCTGACCTTCACATACATGCTGTGTCATGCATGCGTGTGCACACATGCACATGGATAATAAATAAATTTAATATATTTTTTTAAAGTCAGGGTTCAGCAAAGAGCACTATAGACCAAGCTCTCGGAGTGAGAAGTCTTCTGACATTTAAAGAACCACAAGAGTAGTTTCTCACTACTCTGAGAGTCACAGGACAGAAGAGGAAAGAGAAAAGGCTACAGATGGAAGTGAGGGTCTGTGTCTCCGGGGCCTGGGCTTCCTGTATGGAATCTCGGCTACTGCGCATCACGGGCATCAAGGCGAGGTCCAACAGGAAGAGGCATACTCAGATTTGATGCCCAGCAAGATCACTTTAAATTGTAGTATGGACAGCAGTTAAGTTAGAATCTGGGGAATCAGAGTGCAAGACTTTGTAGCATCAGCAAAAGTAAGATAATCACGGCAGCATGGCTAGAAAAAAATGGGAGGATTTGAGAAATGCTAATGATGAAGTAAAGTAAATACAACAAATCTATATGCAAGTGAGATAGCCCACCTGCATCCACGAGCCATGCTTAAGACCAGCATCTGTCTGAAGAAAGCACTGCAATACAAGAGGGGCTCAAAATAGGCAGCGAGAGTTCTTCAGCTTGCAAATAGACACTGGGAAAGCAAGATCCTGTGCACCCTAGCAGGAGATGAAAACGAGGAGCTACACAAGGACAGTCACCCCTGCCTGACCTTTGGGTCATCCTACCAGGACAGGGAGCCATGACAGCAAGAGAATCAAAACTGAGTATGGTAAAGAAAAAGAAAAGATCTAAAAAAAAAAAAAAAAAAAAAAATAGGAAAGGGAAACATAGTTGGGAAGTCCCTAAAAGCAAACCTCCATATTTTCCCCACATTACATAAAAACATGCACAACCAACCAACAACAACAACATTTACACTGGGGAGGCAGATCTGAACTGCATGTCCTTCCAAGAGTTCAGGAAATAGGATTTCAAACTAAAATGAGCAACAGAAAAGCACAGTGATCAGATGTCACATGAACTTAGATGGTAGAACGGGAAGTAAAGTCACACAATCCACATTCATATCAGAGAGACATTCTCAGATTTAAAACCAGATCAAACTGACCACAAACTACCTCAAAAGAACTCTCTCTCTCTCTCTCTCACACACACACACACACACACACACACACACACACACACACACAAGGTGACATTAAAGAACAACCTAGAAAAACATTAGAGATAAAGGTTATTTTAGAAAGAAATCTAAATGATGTGATCTAAGAGCAACTGAGCGTGATAAGTGTGCTGAAGAGAATAAAAGACAAAAATGGAGTTTAGAAATTAAGGTACAAAGGGTTTCTGAGATCTTAATGAAGATTGGCAGTTGGCCAAAAAGAAAAAAAAGAAAGAAAAGAAAAAGAAAAGAAGTAGTAGAAAAGAAAAAGAAAGAAAAACTAGACATCAATAAAACTTCTCTGCAATTACTTTCTCCCCCTAAAGTATGCTGAAAGCACAGGCTAAATACCTAAGGAAATTAGCTCAGGATAACCAATAAAAAGAAACATTCTAATAAAAATTACCAGACAGAAGAGAAATTCTTTAGACTCCCATATAAAAATAGAATCTGACACAGAACAAAAAAAATGATGATTAGATGTTGACAGCAATGCTTTAAGTCAGAAGAAAATGAGAGAAATATACTCAAATATATTCAGGAAAAGAAAATGTGACCTCGGGACTTTATATCCAGAGAAACTGAATTTTATGGATTACAAAATAAAAGTACAGAGAAGCTGAGTAAAATTTAAGAAGTTAGAGAACATTGCTCTAGCAGCCCTTCCACAGAATCAACAACAGACAAGACTCAAAAAAGCAAACTGCTCAGGAGTTGACAAATACTAGAAGTCAGCGGTCTGGGTGGCATGTGCTGACGTGAGGCAGATGTAAGGCCATTTCTGCTGCCAAGGAAGTCATCACATTCAATCATATTTTCTCACCTTTCCTGTAAAAACTGCAAGCAAAGAGTCAATGAGTCAAACACAAAACTATACAAGCTGCAAAACGAAAACCATTAGAATACTACCTTCCTGCAACCTCCAAGGTTGAGAGGATACAAGCATAAAGAAAAAGCAGTTATTACACACTGCCTCTGCTCTAGAAGAGGAAGGATCTGGGAGAAATGAGGCGGACTAAAGTCTCATGTAATAGTCAACTTTAGTCTCGGACAATTTGTACTCTGAGGGTTGAAAAGAGTCACCAGAGTAGAGTGTACAATCACAAGGACAGGTCACACGTGGCAAACCAAGTTTTCCCACAGAGGCCTATAAACAAATAGCAATAACTAGCTGTAATGAATGATTTGAAGTAGACTCCCTCCTTCCACTACACCCGAGAGGGGCAGAAAACACATTCCAAGACCAATTCTGTGCTTTGAAGAAACTGAAGCCACATGACTCTTGTCTTATACTCTTAGTGTTTTCTCTCAGGTACTCAGAGTTCTCCTCATATGAGTTCATGTACGTCTTGAATGGGCACAACACCCGCCTACCATGTTGTCAAAAGGATCCAGACTAAGTTTAATTAGTTGCTAACCTGTATCAAATAATAGAAGACCACAGCAAAGAGTATGCAACTTTTTTTGGATTCAGTAGATAAGAATTTTCAACAGATAATTTGAAATACAAAGAAATAAATGAAGGGAGATACTTTAGATTCAAAGAGATCTAAAGGACAAATTAAGTTTAAAAAATATACACAAGATTGAAGCACAACATCCAAGGATGAATGCTAAGATGAAGATGGCATCCAAACAATTTCTATGAAAATGAGGGTGGTGGTTATTACAGCGGGCAGGGGACTGAGAGGCTGGGAGATGGTTCGGGGATAAGAGTGTTCGCTGCTCCCATAGGAGGATCTGAACTTGAACCCCTGAAGATCTTACGTAAAAAGCCTATTACAGCTGCAGCTGAATGTATCACATCTGTAATTGCAGTGCTGACTCAGGGTGGAGACAGGAGGAAGTCTGGGGCCTACTGGCTGCCAGTGTAGCTCCAGGTCAGGGGGAGACCCTATCTCAAGGAAATAAGGTGGAACGCAATAAAGTAGGACACATGGCATCCTCCTGTGGTCTCTGCAGATGCACTGACAGGTATACACACCACACACACACACACACACACACACACACACATAAATGGAAGGATGAAAGACAAGCAAGAAAGAATATACCAGAGACCTGAGGGATGAGCCGCAGGCAAAAGAGGACTTGCTGGGTAAGCCACACAGAAGCTGCATGGAATTTCAGCAAAAGCAGTGACAGGTGGCACTAGCAGTCAGTCATACTGAAGCGAACTTCAAAGAACAGAGTTGGGGAGTATGGGCAAATCTTTACCTGCTTAGTTATGAAGGGAAGTAGAAAAATGTGGCAAGCGGGGAGACCTGCTTCAAAAAAACGTTACACAGACATAGACCTGCATACCCATACAGAGCTAAGAAAGTCCACATCTATGCAGTCTCTGCTTCTCTAATTAAAAACAAACAAGAACAGAAGAGACAATCTGCTATAAAATGGAGAGAGAGGTAGCAAGGCAGGTGGCTGAAGGGAGCAATGGACACCCCGAGACAGAGAGGGAGGTGCCTGAGCCTCTTCAGGAATGTGCCACTAAGGTGGGAGGGGATCCCACACAGCACTCTGCCACCTGCAGGTGGACTGGAAAGGGCAAATCACCCAGTGACTCAGGCTAGGGTTTCCTAAGCAGCAGGACTAGCAGGCAGCCCTAGGTCCTGAAAGCAGAGGAGAAAGGGAGGAAAGTCAGGAATACTGGCTCCGACGGAGGATCAGTCCGTTGCTGGTGACTAAGAAAATAATTCTATAGATGCTGCCACTGTGTTTAGAACAAAAAGAGGCAAAGGCGGGCAGATTCTTATGAAGCTTCCCAAATTCTGGGAGTGTTTTGTCCTTAAGAGATAATGGAATTCACTTCACAAACTCATGCCTCTTCTTTTTCTCTGCATGGATGATGCGCAGCCTTACTCTGTTACCTGAACTAATGGATCAGGCTTCTAATGCTACACGAAATATATGCTGAGACATTCCCCAAAGAACCCTGGCATACTGTAACAGACACCTTCTGCAGCAGCTCCAGGCTAAACTCCATGCACACCATCCCCGACTGAATTCTCCTCACCCGAGGTAATTACTAAAGGTCCACAGTGTCTCAGCAGACTCCAGCAATTCCTTATTTTAGAACACTAATACATGGAGCGCACACGATAGATGGCCTCTAGCAAGGAGCCTAAGGCGGCACTCACAAATCAAACCTATTTATCCGCTAACGCCATTAACTTTCACACGGTAAGGGATGAATGACGACTCAAAAAGCCCACAGTAGTTGAGGTTCACTTCTGCTTATAAACAGACTGAGATCAGACTAAGGATTTTAAAATCTAGTTTTCTAAGCGTGTTGAACTTCTTAGTTGTGGATGAGCAGGTGGACCTGTAGGACTCTCGTTTCCTAGAAGAAAGACAGATTAACTAGATTGAAGTAGCTTACCTATGGGTGTTCAGGCTCGAGGCTCTGGTCCCTGTGTTACACCCCACTGCCTAGAAAGACTGACTTCACCCCCTATTTGAGTCAAACCACTGCAAGGACAGGGCACTACCAACTCTGATGCTGCAGATCATGGGGTGTCTAGGGAAAGTTCAGGGTCCAGTTCTAGACACGTCCCATTTTCCTCCCAAGTGACAATCTGACTCAGCATAAGAGGGAGTGGGTAGATATCTTCAGGAAAGGCAGAGAAGGGTAGGAGCCTGGATAAGGGAATGAGATTCAGAGGCAGAGGTGTTGGAGAGGGATTGGATGGGAATGAGGGGGATTGCAGGAATGGGAGAATTGACAGAGGGTATTGGGAAGGATGAAGAAAGGGCTATCCAAGAGCAGGAAAGAGGGCAGGCTGAGGGGCTCCATCAAGGAGAGGCATTGTGCTCTGGACAGAGAAACCAGTAGAAAACAGAAAGAATGACAGAAAACATTTAGTCCTGCTTTTGCATGGTCCCTGCCCTTTCTTTTCAGCCTCGTGCACCCTTGGGTGAGCCCAGCCTACGCCTTTCACCTTGATTTCACTCTGTTCTTTTTTCCCACCCCAAGAAAGGGTTTCTCTGTATACCAGCTCTGGCTGTCCTGGAACTTGCTTTGTAGACTGTCTCCCAAGTGCTGGGATCAAAGGCATCGCCGCCACCACCCGCCTTCACTTTGTTCTTTTAGGGATGGACAACAGACTCAGTAAAAGAACAGTATTCAAGGTCTCAGATCTACAACTCAGCATGATGCGATTAAATCTCAGTTCTGAATTCTCCCAAAGCCATGGATCCAGAGGACGACTTCAGCGGTCATCCCTCAGATGTCATTTGCCTTGTTTTAAGAGTGTCATTCACGTTTTAAGAATCAGAAATGGGGCCTGGGTAGATGGTTTAGTCAGTTTTCCTTGCAGGCAAGAGGACCTAAATTCAACTCCAGGACCACGTGAAAAAGCTAGCCAGGTAGCACACGCTTGTAACCCCAGGGTGGATGTGGTGGGGGTCATGTGAATCCCTGGGGTTCAGAGGCCGTTGGTGACCCTGTCCCAGGAACAAGGTGGAGGACACCTAAGGAATGACGGCTGAGGTTGACCTCTGGCCTCCTCATTCACACATACACACACCACACATACACACATGCACCATGACGTGAACATGATTGCGAACACAGAAGAGAATTAGGTGTGGGTACATGGCTGTGAACAAAGAAGTCGGAAATACAATACCCACTGTGAGCGGGTGCTGCCGTGGTAAGAAGAGTAGGAACAAAGACAATGAAAAGTTTCTGTCAGCACAGAGAGATTTTTGTAGCAGCTGAGGGACAAAACTACAGTATAGAGACCGTTAGTATAACCTTTCCAACGGAAGCATGGATAAGCCATATAAATTCAGTAGCAGTTAAAAAAAAAACAGTCTAGTATGTATACTCACTTCCCAGAGTTCATAGAGCTCCTTCCTGAGGTCCTCTGGCAGCAGCTGGGTGATCTGCTTCATAGCCTCCTGAAATATGAAGCCATTAATTCCATTACATTCGCCTTCATCGAAGTCAGTATCTAGCCTACAACTAGCCTACAAAAGCCAAACAAGGGACTCAGATTCCTCAAAATAACCCCAGTAGAATAAGCAGGCCTTTACAGGTTCCAGTTTTTTTTTTAAGTACTATATTCATTTTCTGTTATTTTCATTATTGCAGAAACTTAAAAGCATCATATAAAAAGTTAGTCATTAAAAAAAAAAGTTAGTCATTGTCATTGACATAACAGAAGTCCCAGTTTTTGAGGTACACAGATTCCCAGAATGCACTGCTGAACATGGACCTCGTTATAACCTCAAGAGGCTGCCCAGATGAAAGCACTGTCCTATCCTCTGATTTGCCACATAGTGTCCACAACAGGACAATGACCAGTGCAGTCAGAGTGACTGTGTCCTCAGCAACCGTTTGAGGGGATGTCCTTGCAATTCATGCCTGGCCATGCTGAACCTTTCCACGATGTATCCAGCAGTTTAAAGATGCCTTTGTTATCACAAGAAGCCTGAGAGGTATCCAAAATCCAGAGAGAGGAAAATGAAAGAATAAGAGGCATCCTTTGTAAATACTTCTAAGTCTCCCTTGGTGTCCTCAGTTTCTCCCTTGGCTTCATTCATCCTAGTATTTTTCCAAATAGCACATTTTTAAGGTCAACTAACTTCCCAATGGCCTTCTACACCTTCACTATCTCATCCTGTATAGCCCTGACTCTGCTCTACTCCGGTGTTAACCAGAGGTCAAACTCTTTGAAAAGAATAAGCTATAAGCACCAACTTCAGTAATAGCAATGTCTTATATAAAATAAAATGAGTTGGAGAAAAGCAATGAAAAGAAAATGAACATTTGTGTGGATATTTATACGGTATTGGAAGGAAAAACGTCTTATAGCATACATCTGTGTCTACAGCAAGCAGTATATGCCAGTACTAGTAATATGCTCTTACAAGTGGCATGACCATCCAGGGAGGCCGCTCAGTCATACAGCTGGAATGCCACACCACGGAGAAGCATAAAATGGATTTTACACTTGCACTTCTTGTTCCTTTATTGTAAATCTCAGCAATATACTTGAAAACACACATTTTTGTAAATTGTCTCCATACACAGATTACTTTTGACTATACTATTCCAGAAATACATTATTTCTTGCTTAGTTTTCCCTCCATAAACATTTGTATGCAGCTTGTATATGGAAGTCCAGTCTTCTTGTCCCTGGAGAAAACTGATCCTGGCCCAGCAGCTATTAATTGCCTATAGCTCTTCCCGTAGAGGTGAGCGCTTGTGAGATTTGGCTGCCTAAACAAGACCCCACAGTAACACTAGCCGAGAATTACATTTTTGAGAGCTCTCAGTTAATATTCCTTGTTTGACAGCTTATATCACAGAATCATGCCCACCTTAAAAAATGCTATCAACCTCACTGAAGATCCTCGTCACGGGCCAAGACCTCACTTCTGTGCTTTCACTGTGTCATTCAGCCGTACATATTGGGTGACAATGCCCTTAGCTCCTTCCTCTGCTAGCAAACCATGCCAAGAATTTGCTTCCACTGAAGTGGGAGCAGCCCTCACCAAATCCACAAGTCTCTCTTTTCTGTTTCCTGGCAATCACCTGCAAAGCTTGTACTCCCAACCCTGACACGGCTGAGTGGTGTGGTGGCTCACTCAGATTCTAGATCCAGACTGGTCTTAAACCTTGGCTTGGCATTCACTAGCTGAAGACCCTGGACTCGGCCATTTAGCCCTTTTGTCTTGCAGTTTCCTCATTTGCAAGGTGGCACCTTCCTAAGAGGGTTGCATGGTCTGAACGTGGGCACACACAGTCCTTATAAGTCAACATGAGTCCTCAATACATATTCACTTTGAGGTTTCACTTTCTCGACCTTCCAAAGACTCCCGTAATGAAGGAAGGCCTATTCTCCTTTCACCCAGTTCGTTAGCCACTTTGTCCCTCACAGATACGGGAGAAGAATGACTCCGCATTCTATTTGAACAAGCTTCTCTCTCTGCAAAAGAGCATATAGCTGGCCACTGTTATATCAGCATCTAAGTCTAGGCCCTTAATCCTCATGATGCCTGTTAAGGCAACGCTGGCAAGCTTGGGTTATAATAAAAGGTTCATGTTATCATGGTGGAGGAAGGGGTTAGACACAAGCGTTGCTTTTGGCCCCCTTTCCGAGTTCTGTCTTCTCTGCCCTCATTCTGCCTTTCATCTTTAATACTGAAAATCCTCTATAACAGGCATTCTTTAGTACACCAAGTAGTCGTCCTTCCCCTCTCCCTCTTCAACTTAAATCGTGGCCAGCCACTCAAGAAATTTCTGGGCAAATGATGCCTCTGGTTCGCATTATGTATGTTTCTCCTGAGGCCAAGAAGCCTTCATTTAATTATCTTAATGCATGACTCAGAGAACTGAATTTTGTTCATAAACACCATCTGTATAAGGAATCCCAATCTTCCCATGCCCAAACCCAGATTGACGACAGGAAGATGTAAGGGCGCACCAGCTCTTTTCAGGCCCCGGGTTTCTCAGCCAAGAACCTGACGTTCCTAAAGACGTTTCCCTGGTCCTTCTGCCTCTGACATTTATTCCTCTGAATCAGCAGGAGTGGGCAGCAGTAAGGACAGCTGGGGCCAGAAACGCTTTTTTTCCTAACCAGAATCTGGCAGGAAAGGAGTCAGCAGCACCTTGTGATCCCGCCTCGGGGTGACAGGAATCAGGATCCAGCCGGTCTGCAGAGTTGCAGGTTTCTCCCTCTGTGGTTGCAGTTCCTTGACAGTGTCTGTGGTTCTTTTCCAGAAGTTTCTGGCATGCTCTTCTGTGGAGAAAATCCTCGTGCACTGTCAGAGGGACAGCGTATCTCTTCTCTGTCATTTCCCGTCCCTGCTCCTTGGTCTAAGGCCACGGTTTTCACTCTGCATCCATACTCGTGCGGAAATAGAACCAACATCCTCCAGCCAGCTTTAGGAACGAGAAGATTTTTTTTTTCTTCATCTTCTTCACCCAGGTGACACTTCATTACCCGTTATCCTCAGTTCAACAGCTGAGAATTTCAGCAGCTTGCTTTCATTCTGTGTGCATTCTGTCAAGCAACTTAATAATTCTTTTTCACAACAGTCTAGACCTACATCGAGAAATATTTCCTTCCATCATGATGAACAGGCTGTGTTTTGGATCTGTTCTTTAGGAAGAAGAGGGATGGATGACATAGCCCTATACGACCACCAAGGTGCCCGTATTTTAGGGTGGGCTGGAACCTAAATTAGCCCCACTTCTTTATGGACTCTTCCTGCTTCTAGATGAGCAAACGCCCTACTGGCTACTTAGCTCTAGTTTCTATCATCTCGGAAAACAGTTACTTAACCCTACCTTCTCTATTAAACCATGTCAGTAAAGGCATCCTCACTAAATAACTTAGAACCAATCTCAAAGGCCTTCAAGAAGTCGTTTGTAGTAATAGTGCCACTGAAATCCACTCCTTCAGCTTCAAAGGACGAAACAGCGAGGGATGGGGAGGAAGGAGGAAGAGATAAAGGGGAGACTTCTTCATGGGTTTGTCTGTCTCTGCCTCAACAAAGTTTTTTTTAGCCCTGCATGCACCATTGACCTTCATTTACTATCTTATCAATGCCATTTATTTTTATGAATGCCAATGCTTTCTTTTACTTTTTAAATTTCTAGCCTCTAAAGGACTAACTTAAAATGTACTAAATAGTAATTAAAATACTAAATATATTTGTGATTTTGAGAATCTCTCTTCGAAGAGTTTAAGTGTGTGTGTGTGTGTGGGGGGGATAATTTCGGCAAATAGACTTAACCCTCAGCTGCTGGTATGACCCTAACGAAAGCCACGCCAGCAAGAATTGAAGCCATCACGACTATTTGTTCCTGTGTCAAACCAGGTGAGAGCAGGGATGTCGCCATGTTCTTATAGAAAACAATGCTAAGAATCAGCTAAAATCAATTTGCTGGCCAAGAAGTCCTTGCTTAGAAGTCTGAAAACAGACGGTACGAGTAACACTTCAAGGCTCTCTTGAAGACCTCCCCTCACTATAGCCACCAAACCTAAGCTGTTAAGTACCATAGTCTGTACAGACTCAGCTAGCTGTCTATCATAGGATGAGATGGCAACACCTTGACCCTCAAACTCTAAGAACATCTTCTCCGATCTTCCCTGTTTTCCAATAGGGCTAATGAATTCTCTTCACTTCAGCGAAGGGTTTTCCTCATGGTTTTTTGCAGATCAGCACCAACCTCTTCTCGCCTATGCTTTTCTTCTTTGGGGATGTTATCTGCTGGTGCTATGTCCCCAACGATGCATTCTGCCATATCGTGAACCAGGGCTAGGCGTATACATCTGATCAGGTAAGAAACGTTGAATAATTACACAAAATTACATCCACTACAAGTTTCTTTCCTATACTATTTTTAAACTTAATAATGTGTTTTTTCTTTCTTCCCCACTCATAGACTAATTTAATACAATATTTTCTAAAGTAATTATATTCTACCAGCCCACATTAGCTCTGAATCAAATTACTTTTGAATATTTAACACAACACTTGAGAGTATAGAGCAGACTGAATTTTTTTAATGGTTGATTTCATAATTCTCACTTTAAGAAGTTCCTAATTTCAAACCACAAAGCCAGGAGACGTCTTACAAAAATTTAGAATTGAGTATTTCCTCCAGTGTCCTAATGCCAAAAGGATCTATATATAGGGTGATGGGTGAAATCGAACAGATAGGGCTTTAAATGTGGCTACCAAACTTATTAGCTACAGGAAGTTTACCCGATTATGTATTAACTTAAACGCTCCCTTTTGCTGTCCTTCATTTTATCATATAAAATGGATAACAGGGAGATACAGCTTGTAGAATACTGGTATACCAATCATCAGGCCCTGAGTTGGATGCCTAGCATCAGAGAAAGGGTGTGAAAGAATACTTCATAGAGGCGATACAAAAATCATATCTCATAAACCATGTTCTTGCTCCATACTAGTCATTTAACACATGGCTACCCTTATTAGTCTATGACAATAACCATCAGAATGACAGAGGCAAGCAATGAAGTAGGTGCCTCAGGAGGGGAAGGGCACAGTGTTTTTCAGTCCTGCTGATCAACAAAGACCTTGAAGCCTCCAGTTTCTTTCTAGTACAGTTCAAATGTCAGACTGAGTTCATCTCAAACTGACTTCATTTTGTTTGGGGCTTTTTTTTTTAAATGCCAAAACTCCTCTACATTCCGGAAACACCACCTGCAGAGCAACAGGACTCCCCAGGGTCCCCAGGATCACTTTGCTGTAGTCAGCTTGACTGTTTTCTGTGTTTCCAATGAACTTTGCTTTCTCCCCACCAGGACTTTGATTGTGGCTCCTCTGTGTGTAGCCCTCTATAACTTCTTGACTTGTGCCAACTCTTTAGAAAGAACGCAGCTCAGTGGCCATCCCATCCATGGAGATCAAGCAACAGCAGGAGAGCTCCCCACTGTTAGAATAACTGGCTATTCCCTCCTTTACCTTCTTCTGTGATTTTCACTGAAGCCACAGTAATTCATTCACTGTCTTCTATGTAACTCTTGCCCTGCGGTCCCTAAGCATTTTAAAGGGTTGCTGAGTAACTAAAGGGGTACCTCCTTAGAGCATCTACGTACGCGTTGCCATACAGCCTCAACAGCATGACCTCACAAATGGCTACCATTATTCATAAAAGCAGCTAGTCCAAAAGCAAAATAAATATGATTGCAAAGACACAATTTTACACATACTCACCTTCAAGGCCCTAATTTCTCACTTATTTCCACTGACACCAATGCGCATGCTCTATCAATAGAAAACCTACTGTAGTTTGTAACTGAAGCAATCCTCACACAGAGTCTAGAGACCTTCAAATAACTTACCGATCCTTGTTAAGGTAGTCATCTCTGGTCACCATAGCCATAACTGCCATCCGGTACATGTGATCTGACACACTCTCTGGCTTTTCCACATTCCTGTATACCCAGCCCGTCCGTGGGACTCTCTAATAAAGAAGATAAAGAATTAAACAAATACCACTACTAGAAACGACCACACGACCAATAGATGCTCTTCAAGAAAATATCAGGGGATGACTACAGAGTCAACCAAGTCATGGTTTCAAACCTATTTTTATTTATATAAGGCCGATGGTGGTGGCGAACACCTTTAATTCCAATACTTGGGAGGCAGAGGCAGGTGGTTCTCTATGCGTTCGAGGCCAGTCTGGTCTACTGAGCAAGTGCCAGGACAGGCTTCAAAGCTACACAGAGAAACCCTGTTTAGAAAAACAAAAACAAAACAAAAAAAAAAATGCTTTATTTAAACTAACCATAGTGATCCATACATCTGAAATCTATCAAACTGGTGAGTGAGCAAAATGCAATTCACAGTATACTAAAGTTCAATAGTCATCACTGCGCTACTGAAGTGTAACAACGGTACAATACAAAGGTTTTAGAAAGAAAGGCAAAACTGGTGGTAAGCCTGGTGCTGCATACTTGGGATCCCAGCACTCAATAGGTGGAAACCCGAGTTCCAGGCAGCCAGCTGTACTATCAACCTCTTCTCTAAACAAGTACTTCTTAATAAGGAAAAACACAGGGCTTTGCTTTGTCATTTTTCCAAACTACAAGAATAGTAGATTTTTGCTATCCAAAAACCCATTTCAGAGAAGAAAACAGTAGCATGTTTTGTACATAAACACGTGACAGACTGCCCAGATCTGACACAGAAGGAATACAGGAATTTCTGCCACGATCAAGACTTTTATTTGGAACACGATGTGATCATGCGAGTCTGCACTTTCCCTGGGAGTTCCATGCTTCTAAAAAATTTCAAGATAGTAGTCACAGTTTCAGGGAACCGGTGATCTGGGAACATAGGGGACTCTGCCCAAGCTCTGATAGGCTAGGGCTGATACACGCTGAAACTGTGTTACAGAAACGGTCGCTTCCGGAAGTCATTGCGACAGGGGAAGGTCTCGGCTGCACCGGTAATGGGCGCCGGGCCCAGAACGGGCGGCGCCCAGCCCGGAGCTTGCACAGGTTTCGGGTCCCGCCTCGGCCTTCAGCTTGGTCCCCGCCAGCTCCTTCCCAGCTCACCCAGGCCGCGCACCGCGGAGCTGAGAGAGGGGAGGCTGCGTGGGGACGGAGCCTGAGCCCGAACTGTCGCATCCCGGCCAGGCCGTGCCCGCTCGCTCACCTTGAGCTGCCCCACCAGCCGCAGAAAACGCAGCAGACTGGCTCCGTGTCCGGAGGAGGCCGAAGCCATGCTGGAAAGCACCTGAACGGAGGCCCGCAGCAGATCTTGTCCCTTCGGCTCCTCCCTGTCCCCTCCGGCTCCTCCCCTCCCTTAGGCTCCTCCCTGTCCCGTCCGGCCCCCTCCTCGCCCCCCTCCGGCTCCTCCCCACCCTCCTTACTTCCTCCCCGGGTGGACCATCTTATTTCTTTGGACAGCAAGGGCTTGGACTTTGCATGGTCTGTGATAAAGTAACCGTTGTCCACTTTCACCTGGATGGTAGTTCGATGCTAAGAGGAGAAGGGCCTCAGGAGAAAGAGGCTGGATATTTATTGCCTGCAAACCTCGAACTTAGAAGTTCAGTGTCTGATTGGCCTGAAGTGCTAGCTCTAAGGAGCTCCACTTACATCCACCACCATTTAACAGAGGCACTGGGTACAACTATGAAGGCGGAAATGAGTGGCAGACATACTGGGAGAAATTGGCGGAGGCAGAAAAATGGGCTAGGATCACAACCTCTTAATACCTCAAGTACTGAAGCATCCCCCCCCCCCCCACACACACACACACACATTATCATCACCTGCTTGGACCATACTTGTTTCCGTTGACAACTAAACAGTACAAGCATCTAAAGGCAGTTCATGGATATGGGCAAGATTCAAGGAGAAATGGAAGTGAGGGAGTATGTGGGAATTCCAGTTTTATTTGTAACAGGTAGGCTTATTAATATACATGCGGTGGTCCTGATGAGCTAGATATGGTTTATCACTGTTTCTTACTACAAAACACGTCTGTCCTGTCTTCCGTTTGAGTCAGACTACTGTACCAGGAACTATGCTAGAGAATTTCACGTCCACCATTGCGTGCATAGTCATCAAGGCAAAAATATAGGTATAGAGTAGATTCTACGGAACGCTAAGCCAGCATCCGTGAACAGAACCCAGTATTATAGTCAGCTCCACAGTGGAGTTTGAATGTTGGGGTACGGTGTAGTGATGGAGCACAGCAGGCCCGAAGCCCCAAGTGATCTCCAGCAACTGAGGGTCAGTAAGTACTTTATCACTGTTTGGATTTCTATAAAATAAAAGCCCAAGCTTCAGATGCCAACACTCACCATGCTGCCTTGCTCTGCTAAGTTCATGTGTTGAAGACCCCATTCCTGTTTCTATTATTGTCCCTAGCTGCTTTCTCCCGATAGATGACACCGGTAGGCACTCCTCCATGTGACCCCCAGAGTGTTTTGAATCTGACATCATCACAGTCAACATGCCTGTGAAAGTGGCTCTTCAGATTATAAAACCTGTCTGGACATAATCCAACAAGATTCCAGGGATCTTAAATAGCACCTTGTTTTCTGCTCTAGTTGACAGTGTGAACCTGGTAGAAACTGGCCGGAAAACTAGGCAGACTAAAGCCTCATGCCATGGCCAACTTTATTCAGTGACCAGACAATTTATACTCTGAGGGTTAAGAAGAGTCACCGGAGTGAAGTGTACAATCACAAGGGCAAGCTGGATGTAGCAAAACTGTGCTTTTCTTTCTTTCTTTCTTTCTTTCTTTCTTTCCTTTTATTTTTTTATTGATTTTTTATTGAGCTCTACATTTTTCTCTGCTTCCCTCCCTGCCTCTCCCCTCCTCTTCAACCCTCTCCCAAGGTCCTTATGCTCCCAGTTTACTCAGAAGAGCTTGTCTTTTTCTACTTCCATGTAGATTACATTTATGTAAGTCTCTCTTAGGGTCCTCATTGTTGTCTAGGTTCTCTGGGATTGTGGTTTGTAGGCTGGTTTTCTTTAAAAACTACCTATGAAAAAGTACGTGTGATATTTGTCTTTCTGGGTCTGGGTTACCTCATTCAAAATGATGTTTTCTAGCTCCATCCATTTGCCTGCAAAATTCAAGATGTCATTATTTTTTTTTTCTGCTATGTAGAACTCCACTGTGTAAATATACCACAGGTTCCTTATCCATTCTTTGGCCTAGGGGCATTTAGGTTGTTTCCAGGTTCTGGCTATGACAAACAATGCTGCTGTGAACATAGCATATGTATCTATAATAACAACAGCTGGAGTAAATTCTCTCTTCTGCGACACACCTGGGAAAAGCAGGAAAACACACCCAAGAACAATTTTATGTTTTGAAGAAACCGAGGTCACAAGAGTCTTCTTGCAGTTTCTCCTAAGCACTCAGGACTCCCCTGACACAACTCCATTCTTGAACTATGTTCTGGCAGCACCTATCACTTACATCAAGATTTATCAATAAAAGGAGATCATTCCTATTAGAATAGGAGCACAGGAAACAGGTTGGGGGACAGGGAAAGATCTTATGGGTGCCATGTCTTAAACCCCTGGCATTACTTAAGGATCCCTTGTAAAGGGACGCAGTGGTTTTCAGAGATGTAAGTAAGCCTCAGAAGTTTAATGCAACTTCTGATGGGCAAAGAGTGCTAGTGGATTATCACTCTGCAGGTTGTGTACTGTCCCTAGAGAAGCAAGGCAGTGTAGACCGGAAGGGAGTACCATGGGCACTCTCCTGCTGACTTCAGTCTCCTTGCTTGTGTAGCAGCTATTTAAAGTGGGCCATGGAGTTACAATCACTATTATTACTATGTTGTCTGCAAAGAAATTTGCTCAAGGCAATATCTACAAAATAGCTTATTAAAAAATATTTCACACTCTCAAGGACTCACTCATTTTCTTAGTGATTATAAGTTCTCCAAAGGCAAAGGCTTTACAGTGCCACTAATGAGTACTGTAAGACCTAATCCTGAGGCTCCAAACGCATCCCAGAAACACTGTTCAGGTCCATAACTGCATTAGTTACTCTTTTGTTGTTGTCACTGCGGGCTGTGCCCCTTGGACTGTGTCTCACTGTGATGGTCAAGGTGACACAATCTAGAGTCACCTGAGAGGAGTGTCAGTGAGGGGATGGGTGAAGTATGTCAGGTAGGCCTGGAGGGACATCTGCGAGGGACTGTCTGGATGATGCAGGAAAACCCAGCCTAAAAGTGACTGCATGAAAGGCACAAAGCCAGCAGAGCAGCAACTGGGCACCCACTTACCCGTTGCTCGTTTCTCTTGACTCTAGATGTGCAGAGGCGATGTGACTGCTTCTCTAGGCACTGTGACCTGGACTGTGCGCTAAAACAAATCCTTTCCTCCCTTCTGTTGTCCGTTCTCAAGGCATTTTATCACAAAGTCAGAAACAAAGCTAGGGCGGCCTTTTCTGTGCTTCCTGTCCATGAGGATGCTTGCCTCCACCACCCACCCCAACCACGATGGATGAGCCTCTGACACCCTGAGGAAAAAAAATAAAGATTTCCTTATGTAAGATGTTTTTCTCAAGCATTTGGGAACACTGGCACAAAAGCCTGATAAATACAAAGAAAAACCAAACCAAACCCTATGAGGCTTAGATTACAGTTGGGGGAGAAGAGTTACAGGAGGGAATGCCCCAATATGTCAGGTGGTGTGATGTGACCACTGGTTGTCAATTTAATCAGCTTTTTTAAAACACTTAGGGAATTAAAGAAGCACGCTAGACAGAACTGACTTAGGAAAAACCCTGCCCTGAACTCAGATCCAACAGGTGGGAGAGCCTGACTGTGTAAGGAAAGGGACAGAAATGGAAAGAGTGTAGTCATATTCTCTCTCTCTCTCTCTCTCTCTCTCTCTCTCTCTCTCTTCCTCCTCCCCTCTCTCCCCCTCTCTTCTCCCTTCTACCCTCTTTGCCTGCCTCCCTCCCTCCTTCCCCACCTTCGTTTTCTGACACGGGGACCACTCTGCTATGCCATATCCTTGCCACCATGGTAAATTAAAACCCTTGCACTGTGAGCCAAAATTAATCTTGTCTTCTGTTTCATCACAATAACAAGAAAACTGCCTAATACAGATAGTTAGACGCATGGGGGCGGGATAAGATAGCTGGGGATAAGAATTATCAGTTACATAAGGTACGCTGAGGCATTCCCATTCTAAAGTGATATTTGAATAGTGTATCCATGTAAACAAGCAAGGCAGGGGGACAGCTGGGAAGAGAAGGTTAGGAGAAAAGACTTCAGCGGGCAGAAGACTAGGTGGGTGAACACAATATAAACACTCAGAACTCGAAGTACACGCAGTACTAACTAGAGAAGTTGAGACAAGGGCAGAGTGGAAGGCAATGAGATGGGAAGGCTCTGGTCTCATTGTTCATCCCTGTCTATGGAGCGACAGGAGGGCATTGACTGTGAACAAGTGGGGGTATGCACATACAGAAAATACTAATGTAGGGATACATCAGTGAAAAAGATTGTCTACCTTCACGCTTTAAAAAAGAATTTCTTTTAGGTGGGTTGTTGATTTAAAGACATTCATGTATGTTCATTTACTGATGGAAGTGATTTAAGAATATATATATATTCTTGGGTTCCTAGAATACAGTTGGGCAATTTTCCATAGAATTCTCCATCAAGGAAATTACATTTTAGTTAAACCTGAAACGGCCTCAGCAAGCATGCAAGATGGAGGAACCTCTGCACTGCATGCCTTGCCCTGTTATGAAAGTCTAGTGTACAAGACAAAGGGTTCACCCATAATACAGGAGGAAGGCACAGGAAGTGATGGCTATTAGTGGCAGATGTGGTCATGGGACATTGTAGCTGTCCTCTTCTAATTGCTTCTGTTTTCCTACCTCAAGGAGCAGCCCAGTTTACCAAGATATGTTGTAGTAAGAGAATGTGACTTTCTGATCTGTAGCTTCACAGCTGAACACATCAAAGGTTTATTTCTCCTGCTGAGTGCTTCCCCACCCCACCGCTGCCATTTCTCTTTTACACAGGGTCTCACATCCATGCAATAAAAACATTAGAATCAGCTAGATGACACTATTCTGATCTCATGCAAGGACTCTGTGCCAACCTCTCTTGCCAACACTTGGGTGAAGAAGTACAGTTGGTTCTTAAAACCTGTTCTTTAGAGGACTATGTGACCTTTCTTATTCATATGATCGGTGAGATAAATACCATTGCTACGAACAGTTTCCAAAGGTCCTGTGAAATGCCGTCTTCCCACGGATAGAAGGTCTGAAGCCTTGTGAATGGAGGGGAAGGAGAC